ATCACACGCACTATAATGATGACAAAAATAACTCTGATACTGCTTTCCAGACTGTCCGCGTCTTTCTCAAGATCAAAAACTTTTCTCTATCACCCACAGTCTCACGACTACGTCCGTTTGCAACCTTCTGTGGATATCCTCGCTTTCTGCGATCGGCCTGCTTGAGGCCCCAGCACACAGCAAACACACCAATTATTAAGAAAAGTATACCAAACGCTACAGCCGTCCAGAGTAGCCAGGTAAGAATGTTATCCTTGGCTCTGTAAAGTTAGGTTTGAATTCAGAGAGCAAGCGGCGTTTCTCCTCCGTAGCGCACCTGTGCCTGCACCATGGCTGTTCACCCTGTGTCCACTGCATACGCCAAGTTGTCCCGTCTTCGTTTCTGACTCTTCTACCTGAAAATTCCAATTTTGAGCCTTTAAAGATACTGCTAATAAAAAAAAAGGTGATTTGAACAGCCTTTGGTTCGGAATGAAAAATCGTTTCTACCAAACGGATGAGAGCGACTGCACTAGTAAGAAGCCAAACAGATCCTCTCAGGCTCAACTTTTGCTGGAACGCGCACTACTCACATTGGAATTCCGTGTCGCCCATAAGAACATGTGTCTGGAAGCAGCTAAATGAAAGTTTATCTCCTTCAAGATAGGCAGGCTCTCCACTGGATGGCCCTTTGATAAGATACTCCGGATATTCAATATTCATGGCCCCGCATGAATTGTCTGTTGAAAATGCTGATTATTTCGTTATGTAAGGGAGTATCAGAGTTCAGACTCACATCTTGCTACGCTTTCCAATCTTTGAGTGAGGTAGTAATTGTATGAGGTACGTGCTTCCTCACCCAATAGGCGAGCCTTGAAAAACCCAAGAAATTTCTTTTGTAAACCAAAAAGGAAAAACCTGCAGCATGACGGCATCGTAAAGACAAGCCACATCGTTGCCACAATCTGATTCCAATGAGGCAAGATCAATTGGACATCTCAAGTAAAGCTGACGCTCTTCGGGGTACTCGTAATCGGGATCCCCTGTAGAAGATAGGATGAAACTGAACCAAGTCTCCAAAAAAACTCACTTCTAGGGGTTCTGCAAAATTGTAGGAAATTTCTGAACAGCATTTCCGTTTGTGGATAGAATGTGTACTGAGCGCTAAAATAAAGTGATGAATATCATAGTAGTTAAAGAGGTGATACTGATACCTACGTATGATATTTTGAAGCAGTTTTATACACTGATCCTTTTAAATAATGGTCAGCAAAGGCCTCAAAAATTTTACTCAAACAGATGGGCATTAGTGGAATACTTTAGAAATTACCTGAAACAAAGTTTCTCTATCACTCCTCGAAGTGAAAAGATCCGTAACGTCTTCTGATTGCGTCACCACGCTCATCACCTCCAGCTCGCCTTTCACTCTGTCTGAATAATTTACTATGGTAATACCCAGGATAGCACCAATATAATTAGATGTTCCAGTATGAGAGGAAAAGATTGTGAGAGCCTTCCCTCTCAGCC